GAAGATGCCACCCCGTGTGGCATGCCAGGCACAGAGCCCCTCACACCCACCCATCGTCCAGAAGAGGAACCTGAAACTCAGCCCTTAACTAAGGATGGGAGCGGGAAGCCTGGCTCCTGGGCTGGGAACCCACTGCGCCATCTCACTGTGGGTCCTGGGGAAACGCTGCCCCCTAGTGGAGACTCCGGTTCCTCTAGGATGGATGTTCATGCCACTTCCTGGGGTGCCGGGAGCCTGTGGGGGGGACGACTGAGCGGGCAGTGCTGTACCCTGTGCATCTGACCTGCGCGGGGGAGGGGGCAGGGCCGTGGGGCCGCCGAGACCGCGGTGGGGCCGCTGAGACCGCGGTGTGCGCAGGTACTTCATGCTGGTGGTGGCCCTCCAGGCCCACGCACAGAATCAGAACTACACGCTGGCCGCCCAGATCTCGGAGCGCATCATCGTGCGGGTGAGGGCACCTCCTCCAGGGGCTTGAGGGCCCCCCCCCCCCAGAGCTGGGAGAAAAGCACCCGGGGGGAATTCCGGGTCAGGGGTCAGTGGGGAGTCAGAGTCCCGCTGGGCCCTTGGAAGTGTGGCCTCGGGCAAGGCTCCACCCTCTCTGGGCCTGGCATCTCCTAGAGGGAGGAAGTGGACAGGCCTGGGGGCTTCCCCAAGTCCCACAGAAACTGAAAACTGCCGCAGCGGGAGGGACAGCTTAGGCATAGTGGGGTGAGGAGCCCTGGCTGGAGCTGGAGGGGCGGGTGCCCCCTTTCCCAGGGGCCTGCAGGTCTCCCACCCCCCGGCACTGATCCATCCAACCCTAACGTGCCTAGGCCTCCAACCCAGGCCAGTTTGAGAGCGACAGTGACGTGCTGTGGCAGCGGGCACAGGTGCCCGACACGGTCTTCCACCACGGCCGCGTGGGCATCAACACCGACCGTCCCGATGAGGCGTTGGTTGTGCACGGCAACGTCAAGGTCATGGGCTCACTCATGCACCCGTCGGACCTTCGGGCCAAGGAGCACGTGCAGGAGGTGGGGCTGCGGCTGGGGGTGGGGACAGCTGAG